TCCCCCGCCCCCGACCCCAGCCCGCTGCAGGGAAAGCCAAGACATCAGCAAGCTGGCCTGCCCCCCTCCAGCCCGCAGGATGGGGGCTGCCCCTGGACAGCTGAGGCTCCCCCCAAGGCATCTGTCCTGGGGAGGCAGCACCTGCAAACAGCAGAGCTCAACGGGTGTGGGATTGGAGGGTTTGCGACACCTCAGCACCGTGCAAAGGGAGCACCCAGCCCACCCAGGTCCCACATGGCCTCACTCACCAGGTGTGGTAGAGGTTGAAGACAAAGTCTGGCCCTGGGGAGGTGTGAAGGAGAGGTGTCAGAGCCATCTGGTGCCATGAACTCGCCTTCGCTTTGCCGCAAATCTGTGCGGTGGCATGGGGATGGGCAGGACAGCCAGCCGCACTGGGACATCACTGTGCATCCCCCTCCTCAACCTCCACACGCCCCCCAGCTTGTCCCAGAGCCACCACACACTCAGGTTTCCCCAGCCCCCAGGGACCAGCAAGCGTCAGGCATGCTCCCAACATCCCAGACCCTGCAGCCCTTTTCTTTTGAGCCTTCCCTGCCCTGCTGCTGCCGCCTGTCCCCCTGCTCTGCCCATACTCACGGCACCAGCACCAGCCCCTCTGGTACCACCGGATGCAGGTGTAGCCAAAAAGCACCAGGATCAGCAAGGCCAGCCCGACACCCAAGACAATCCCAAGTGCGTTGGTGGACTCTTGCCCTGCAAAGCAGAAGAAGGGGCTCTGCAGACAAATGACTCTGGGAAGCTGGGGCTTCTGATCATCCCCTGGTGGGGACAGGACTTCTGTGGGGTTAGGATACATCCATCCACCCTATGCTGTCCCTGTGGTGTGGAGGGACTACACTCCACGAGGCTGTTGAGAGTTGTGGCAGGGAGGTTTTTGCTACCCCTAAAGACCCATGCTGGAGACTTGTGATCTTGGTTGCACAGCCACCACCTCCACTGTCCCCAGGCAAGCTGGTGGGCAGGACAGTGACCTGGGAAGGGAACCCAGAGGGGAGTGTGGGCAACCTCAGCCTAAACACGAAAGGAATGGTTGTAAACAGGAGCCCACGTTCCCCTTAAGCAGGGCCCCCTGCTATTGCCACTCTCGGCCCTGCCAGGAGCTCGCCCAGACCCCAAGCAGATTTCAGCCATGCCCAGGGCCCATCACATTGTACTGTGGGTGGGGGGCTGGCCACCCTGATGATGCCTGTATCCCCACTCCTGGTCCCATGCACACTCTTCTGGGGTGAAGCACCTTCCTCAGCTGCACAGGGAGCTATTGGCCATCAGCAGGCTTTAGCCATGCAATTCATCTATAATTTTGGCAGCAAAAGTGCAGGCAGGGCAGGGAGAGAGCAGAGTAGGGCTGTGGCCAAGGAGACACTCGCTGGCTGTCACTTCCACAGCTGAGGTCTCCTGCAGCTCTGGTGCATCTTGCCAGCCATGCC